CGTCGTATTAGCCGATATGTCGTATTAACCGATGTCGTATATTAACCGATATCTACTGTACAAGAATTCAAATCGTTTCTCTCAGACTGAGCGTATGTATTTCGAACTATCTGTCGTTTCAGGAGGTAAAAGTTAAAACTGGCCCTTCTCTCGATCTCAGAATCATGTGCGAGCAATATTTTTCTCAAAAATACACAAATCATGTTGAAATGAAAGCCTCAAACAAAAATTGCTTGAACCGTCTGACCCTCGCCTTTCCTGAAGGATATTGTTCTTTGTTCGAAGAGAAATCATAAAAATCTTGAAACTTGAAATCCTAAAACCTAACAGTGCTACCAACACAATCTAGTCCCAATTCGATTCGAGATGTAATGCTTTTGAGTTACACTCAGAACAGTGAGTAGTGGGATAATTTTAGTCACATTGAATGGTTAATGCTTGATGAAAAAGTCCACATGTTTCTGTCATTTGCAGCAGAAGTAATGCCAAAAAATGTCATTTTCAGTTGTCTAAATGCAAATTCTGTAGATGGTTCCTAAAAGTGCTAATTACGTGTTCCTCATTCTGTAGTGTTGGCCTTCAATGACTATGATGGCACTTGCACAACGAGCGGCTGGTGATTGCGAATAGTTGCATGCAGCAGTTTAGTCAGTCTGGCTCAGTTTCAGCAAAGGACATACGTCGATCTCAATGATGCGCATTTCTCAATCTGTCGAGTTCGCCTTCAATAAGCGTGATGGCAATTTGTGCGGCTCGGGAGCACAAATTGTCGCATGCAGTAAGATTGCCATTTTTGCGCAGTCCTATAGCCACGTGGAACACACGTAAATTTCTCTTCTTATTGCGTGGTTCTTATGCGTTTCTTATTCAACAGGTAGCGCTTTTATGAAGTAAGCGGTAGCGGTGTGAAAGACGTGAAATCAAAATGGCGTAACATATTCCACGACCCCCATCCGTCCCTCACTTCTTAAAACACCGCAAGTATCCAATAAAGGCTCATTATATCTTCAACTTAACGTTTGTTCATATAGAAAACGTGAAGTTTTATCTATCCAATGTTCAGAACATATCATTACGCATATGCGCGTTTCATTGAGCTTATTTTTACTGCATTGGCAAGAAATTCCAAGTTTTTTTCTTGGAGCAGTTTCTCTAGTTTTATCATGCACGGGTATGGTATGTGTCAGGGAAGTGTCTTTTAAATTTTAAAAGCCGCAAAGTACACAATCATTGTTGTATGAAGGATGTAATAGTGCCTCAAACTTGAGTCTTGTGAAAGAGTTTTTGTCGTGTGGGAAAAAATGTGATATCGCGTTCATATGGGTGACAACAAAATACAGTCACCTCATCATACATAAACCAGAGAGACGGTCAACAAAGTATTCTCAGAGTTTTAGTATGGTTAATTTCCGTTTCAAAAAACAATCAAAAGAACTTTTCTTGTGCTATGACCATGCAAAAGGATACTGTCCTTTCAGAAAACGTGACGTATGCGGCTCATTTTTATGCCTTAGTTTGTAAAATGGTGGCATACAACGTTCAATGTCATAGACTGTTTTCAGCGAATAGAAAAGGGATTTTTATTTTAAATCATTCCCCTCCTTATACAGGAATTTTCAATTCTAGACTTAAGACTTAATTGTAGGACTATTATTATGGAGTTATGCTCCAAAGATAGGGGCTAGATGGAAGGATATAATTATACAATGTGTCACTGTATATACATTATATTACAATTACTGTTGATTAAGAGAAAAGTGTTGTTGTCTTTTCATTTACACCTTAAGGTAAAAATAGACCCGGAGTCGAAAAAGTTACGTCCAACAAATTGAATTTCCATATCAACTAGTCCACTATTCAGCATGACTTCAACCTGAGCTTTATATTAATCGGAGGGCAGGGGCTATTTTCTATGATTTTTAGGCTACGCACATGAAAAATGTAATATATGGTAACTTGAAATGATTCCGACATCACAGAGACCCAGTTTACAGGAAAACACCATATTTTTTACGCGGTTTGTACATACGAATACCTACCAGTGAGGGAATCCGTCTGGTTGGTATTTGTACCTCTCCAGGCGACCTTTATACATATATTAGCAGAGAGATGGAATTACAATAGAGCATGAAATATAATGGTCATAAATTGGAAATTGAGTAAAAATTGAATAAACAACCATAAAACTTCAACTACAGACTTATTACTGAATTAAGGTATCTAGTTTTGATCAAATCGAGAGCATGTTCAAGTTTTGAAAATTCAAGGAGTCCATTAAGGAGTTTTTGCTGTAAAGTTTGTAATCTTTCCCAAAAGGTTGTAGCAAAAATGTGAATGAGGAATTTAAGAAACTATCCCCAACTTTGTGTTACGCGTCTCAAAAAATTTCCTGATTCCTACATGAAGCAAATCTTACAAGGACCCGGAAAAAGACAACTTGAAATGGAGTGAGTATATGTGGCGTCTAGAACCGAAACCGGCAATCTCCATTGAAATATTGATAGAACGAGAAAGCCTCAATGTTCATGTTTTCTAGTGAATTTTCTGTTATTAAGAGAGAAAATTTCGAAAAATGTTTAAAACAGCTTGAAGTCTCGGTTGCTCCTCGCAGAAAATTAACATGATTGCACACTTTCTAGACAGGGTAGTGGAGATCACCGTTTATCGTTCTAGACGCCTCATTTTGAAAAACTAATGCTGAATCCAAGCATGACAATCCAAGATACCTCCTAATTGTAAACTTGCAGCAAATTCGTTCAAAGGTTGCCAGGATATTTTTAAGCCGTTTGAAACTTTGAACGGCCGACATTTTGAAACGGTGATAGATAGAGACTTGAGTTTGGTGCCAAAAACTTTCTTTTCTTCGTGCTCTCTTTCTCAAGATGTATCGCAAGGTGGGGGTTGCCATTTGGAAATAAAGTTCGGGTCTTTGCTTCCTCCCGTTAGTCTTAGGGGCTCCGTCAACAATTTAGGGAAGGGCAAAAAGAAGCTCCCTTTGATCCCTGTCCCCCCAACGCTCCAACCAGATTGTTCAATTATATCATAAAATTCATGGAAGTGGAACGGGACTTTTAGATCACAGTGTGTTTTGATTGGTTTTTTTTTTATTGATCTTGCTAACCAATGGTTGCATACCCATACCCACACACCTTGCAGGAAAAATTTGACGGGGAAGTGTACCCCTGGGGTGGGGAGCTCTAAGGAAATGAAAAAAAACCCTAGTAAAACCGGGCAAAAATTCGCGGGTCAGAAAGAGCTATCCGTTTGGTAATTTGTGTGCGTAAAAACTTTAGAAAAAAAGGTGTTGGTAAAATTGGGGTTAAAATTAAGAGAATGAGTATCATGTGCGTCTCCATAACTTCAACAATCTTATTTCCGCCGATATAAAGGACGATTAGAAAACGCCTGAAATGGACTTGAAAGCACGATCATGAAGAAAAAAATAAGTCTTTAATATTTTACTTTTTTCGGTTACTTGACTATTTATCGGTAAATATATTTTGGTTGGTGCTAAAAAGAAAAAATTTGCATCGTGAAGAGCAACCACCTTGAAAAAAAGAAACGTAGGTATTAGTTTAAAATTGTTGTTGTTGTTTTTTTTAGCTCATTCAAAGGCTGCGTAAGAATAGCGCTGCATGCCGGCATATGAAAATCCTGAAGCTGGAGAGTAATAATTTATAAATTTTAAGCACGGTGGAACAATTTTTGCGACTTTTTCTTTCTCTGAAAATTTTAATTGTGCAGTGACATTAGTTCTTAAATCAACTGAACACTTTTTTTGCTTGTATTTCAACACCTGTTTGTCCGCACGCTTCCCTTCTATGTTTGTTTGTTTGTTCGTTTGTTTGTTTTTTTTTTTTTTTCACGAAGAAGAGGATTGAACACGCTCGTAAATCACTGCAATCGAAATAAAATGTTGCTACCCCATCAGGAAACCTCAGAAACCTGGAGGTAATAATGATAGACAATTAAAAGAATGAAAAAAAAAAAAAATTAGGTAATGAAGATTTAATGAATTGTTATGATGCCAATGTGACGACCTTTTTTGTTAAAAGAGAAATTTTAAGGTTTCTTGAAAGTCCTTTTTAAACTAAACCTACAATATTCGCTTTTGGTGCGTTGCTCTTTTAAAATCTATATTGTTTCTCTGAGAGGATAGTTCCACTTCCACAAAATGCACATCTGGTTCACGTTTAATGCGGAAAAAAGTTCAATATTAAGTGTGTCAAGGATTTTTCATAATCATCTCAAGCCGAAAGTTTAAGTCTCATAAATACATACACATGTCTACACCCTGTAAAAACAAATTTCTAAAAAACTGACCCAATTTTTCTTCAAATGTGAGGAAATGATCCCAGATTCTTTTGGTAAACATTCCCTCGTTCAGTAAGTCTTACCAGTTAGTAAAGGGAAGAGTAGAAACAAAATAAAGAACATGTACGAATAAAAATTGTCATCGTACTTTTTGGGATTTTTAGTTTGAATTCTATAATTTCTGAACGAGTTGAATCAAAGTGAAACTCCAAATATCATATTTTCTTCTCCTTTCCATTCATTTAATTTTTGATGAGATCGCTTATTTAATTTTATTATATTATAATATTCTATTTATTATTAATTCATATTTATGGGAAAAACGGGCGAAATTTAAGAAAACGCAATTGCGTGCCACTTGTGAAAACTCTGATTCGATTGACTTTAAAGGCCTCGGAGGTAAAGGGGAAAAAATGCCTTCATTGTTATTGGAGGAAGAGGGTGGTTTGAGGACTGATTTATAGGTTGTATATTGGTGGAATCAAGTATTTTTGATGCAGGGCAGCAATACGAGCGAGATGTTGGGTGAGGAGCTCATGGTTGGCGGGAAAGTGCGAGAAGGGAGTTGGTAACCACGCCTTTCTGTGCACTCGAACCATTTGTAACTCCGCTTGCCCTTCCTCTCCGCCGCAGTGAGCGCCACCCGCTTCGGCGCACCTCGGAAGTGTTCGGGAATGTTTGTCGAGCCGCTCGGGCCCTGTGCCTGCGTCTCATGTTGTTGCTTATCCTTAGTGTGAGTTGAAAACTTGTGACCGCGCCGTGGCGCCTTTCAGCTTTTCCATGTCAAATCTTCAGTTTAACCTCTTTCCTCAATGTCGCGGGTGATTTTTCATCAGATCGTCGCACCTATCGGAATTGTGTATTGCTTTTGATGCTCGTGTGATACTGCTGTCTTTGGATACCCTTCTTTGTGTGCGTGAGATTTCGATCAAGTCACCGCAGTGTTTTTGATTTCAAGTGTGCATGTTTAAATTCAATCATTAACTTGAGCTGATTATCTCATTACCTATTTCAAAGTGTCGAGACCGTGTTTGCAAGGGCCTCGAGTCCGAATCCAAGCCGCGATTGCTTTCACGAATGTAGATTCAATTGTGTTCTGGTGAAGTGTCCAACATGTGATTACCCATCGAGGAAGTCCGCTACTGTGGACGTAGCTCTGCGTCCGAAGGATTACGTGTTACTTGAAAAATGTGTCCGCGATGATCATGCGGGAAGTGTTCAACCCAGCTGAGAAAAAGGTTTGTAGCGCGCAACAGCGGAGTTCAAGGGAACTAAGTGCGTTACTCGGGGAGATCGATGGTTCAGAATCACGTGATGGTTTGCGGGAACGAAAGTCTCGATCTTCAAAAAGTGCGGATACTTCGCAGGTCCCGACCAAGCGGGGCAGGGACGAGAGGGATCAGAGTCTAGAGCTAGACTCAGGAAACAGGAAACTTCGCAAAAGATCCAAGCACCGGGGGAGCTCTCCATCTTCGGCGAAGCGGAAAAAGTCGAAGCATAAACACAGAAGGCATGACCAAGACAGGCCGAAAGTCGAGGCATCATCGGTAAGTCCGAGAGTGAACCCTATCTTTCTATGGGTCAGACAGGATAACACGAAAATTTTGGAAGTCGTATGTGAGGACTATGATAAGAGGAACCGCATAAGGTTAACTAAAACGCCAAATGGCTGGCGCGCCATTCCCCGCACGGAGCTTTTGGTCTCTGCCATCAGCCGATCTAATTCAGTATCTCAAACCCCAGCATCAAATGATGCACGACTAGTCAACACACAGCCGTTAAGTAACTGCAAATCTGCTGATGCAGAATCAATTGAAACCAAAGATAATAGTCAAGGTGCTATACATACCGAGAATCCTTTCAATGCATCAGACCGCCGTATTTTGGATGGTCAAACTGACCAGGATGCGGCTCCATGTAAAGATACCACTAGCAGCATTGATGAGCCGATAGAGGACGACTCTCGAACTCCAAGAGCAGATGCGAAGGAATTGGTTGCTCGGCCACTTGAGAGTGATTCTGAGGAAAAACTCCCACCCAAAGACGAGGGTCAGGTAGATGTTCAGAGTTCTTTGAATTCTGTTTGTGATAAAGTTGTTGATTCTGTTGATAGGTTAAGTGACGAAAGTGAGGTTGTTGATACTGAAACTGCAGTAAACTCTGTCGTTTCTCATGTTGGTGCTAGTGCCCCCGAATTGAAAGATTTCTCTGACCATGAGACGTGCGATGGCAATGAGACTAAAAACGATGCTGAAGAAGCTGTTACTGAGAAATCGAGCACAGTGGTTATTGAGGCTGAACAGAAATCGGATCAGGTTCATCTCTTAGAGAGGGAGTCTGAAACAATGGAAAGTCATGCCGAGATCTCATCTAGTGAAGATATTTGTAAAGATCAAAACAGTGAACATCCTAACAATCAGGATCAGTTAGAGGAACGTGTCTCTGAGGAAAATCGCTCAACAATCATCAGTGATAAGCTGAATCAAGATAGCATTGATGTTTCCAGCGAGGAGGTAGATTCTTCAGGTTTGAAGGACAGTCCCGTAAAATCGGAAAAATCTGTAGTCCCTATTGAAGAATCCGAAAACTCAATTCAATTCTCATCTTCTGATTCTGAGTCCACGGAACTGAGTACACTTCCTGTAAAAATTAAAAGAGAGGATGCTGTAGATATCTGCAATAATTTTATATTCTCTGGTCAAGATGAAGACTTATCGAAAGTAAAATCCCTGATGAAGGATGTACCAGATTTGAGCAGTCAATCAACAAAAAAAGAAGATCTAGGGGTCTTGAATGATGATTCAGCCCAAGATTTAAGCCATACTACTGAAAAATCATCTGATTCTTGTACAAAAGTTGTACGTAATTTATCTCCAACATTGAAGAGTGATATTCTTTCAATTGACAAATTATTACCTACCAAATGCGAGGTGAATCAACGAACAGATGAAGAAGTTACTAAATCAGGCATGGACGTCGAGATGAAGGACCCTGGCTCTAAAAAGACTGATTTATGCACGAAAACTCAAGCTTCAATTATCCAAAATAACCCCGTGGAAATGAAAACTGACAGTGCATTGGAGAGCATTCTAGATTTAACAGACCCAGACTCTGATATACCTTTGCATCAAAAATTAAGACTACCCGAAGGTACTACAATTAGTCACATTTCGAGCGAGGCAAAGAAAAGGCCTGCAAATGAATTGACAGTCAGTCCGCGTCCGGCTCACACAAATTCACAGCCCAACTTCTTAGAGACGTTGCTATCGTATCCTAAAAGTTGTCATCAAAGCAGCTCTTTGAGCATCACGAAAACTACCGAGGAGCCCTTGAATCTCGGTAAAACGTCAAAGACGCCGGTAAATAGTTCCAAAGTTCCAAACCCAACAGACTCAAGAAGACTGAGTGTCGACTCAAAGAATTTCAAAGATAAGCATGCACGAATGAATGATATCACGTTGAAAGCTTTGCTAAATCAAAATAAAACTTCAGCACCCGAAAAGAAAGCGAAAAAATACGATTTAAAAGAGGAGGAGCTTTCAAATGTCGACACTGCAACTAGATCTAAACTCTTAGAACTACTCACAAGCAAACAAACAATGAGCGAAACGAATCATCCTCTAGCTCAGTTGAAAGATATTATGTCTAATCCAGATCTCATAGTACCTGACCCTCTCTTAGTCCCCCGGGCACGACTTCCGGCTTTAATTGCCAATCCAGCTCGCGAAATACCACAGCTCCTCTCACGAAAACAGGAAAAATTGTATCCAAAGCCAGTTCCTGACCCAGATCTTTTAGTTGTCTCTTTGGCGCATCTGCAATCTATGCTTCAGAAATCTGGAGCCGAGGCCGAAAGTTGGCTCAAATATCAGCAGCAAGCCCGGCTCCTCCAGTCCCAGATGCAGAAAGATCAGTTCGCCTCTGGTTTAGATCCTGCATCTGTCTCTGCTTTGAATCAAATGCTCTGGCTACCATATCTCAATCAATTAGAGGCAGCCGGGGCTAATTATGGGAATAATCAAGAGCTGATTAATATGCTTGGAATGATGACCCCATCCCCCCACAACCATAACTATTATCAGATGAATCCTTTCATGGTCACTCCTCCAAGCACACCCCCCATGAGCAGCATGGATTTCCAACAGCAAATTGAATTCCAGAAGTCGCTGGGCATGTGGCAAGAAGCAATAATGAAATCATCCTCTAATCAGTTTATTCACGATTTTCATAATAACAACATATCAAAACCTTTCACCCCGATGGAGTCGAATATGAATGCACTGGCAGCCCAACATTACCGACATCTGCTGGAGTCGACTCATCCTGGCAGCATGACATCGGCTCGCACGAACCCGATTTCGCCAAATTATCAAAAAGGTAAATTACGATTTCCTAATAGTGAGCTGCACCTTAGCCCGCACCCGCACCCTCACGCTCACCCTCAGCCCCACCACAATAGCCTCCCTCATATTCCAACGTCGGCGACGTCCACCTCTTGCTCCTACCAACGACAGACGTCCACGCCGAGCACCTCTCTCAACGCTCCCGCCCGCTTGTCAACTGGTCGCCATCGCCACCATAATCCTATTCATAAGACTGATGTCCCGAAATCTAGCGATAGATACTCGTCCGGTGGCGCGGACTGGCACAAGCCGTCGCTTCCTCGCGAAGACCATCATAGTCCTCTGCCATGCAAATCCCCCAAAATCAAGAGGATCGAGAACCATCCTGACACCAAACATCCAAATATTTTACCAAACCTCAATATCGAGATTCCTTGTGTTGAAAAGTTACCGCAAAATACGGCTTTCATGTCCCCTCCGCTAACGCGCGAAGCACCTGTCGATCTTTCCGAAATTAAGAAACTTCCCACGGTGCCAAAATTAAAGGTGAAGCAACACCTCGTCGATCCAAACGCGAAACCGAAGCTTCTCAAGATCGAGGACCAGCCAGAGATCGGGAGCACGACACATAACGAGGAGGATCCACATCTCCAGCTGTGGCACCCCTTTTTTGGAAGGTGAGTCCTGAGTTTTCCTCAAATCATTTTTCTTTCTTTTCCACCTGAGAGTAATTCCAATCCTTCATTTTGCTTGTTGAACACTGTAATTTGGATTCCTTTTTTCCATTACCGTTTAGGAAGAGTTAAGCAAGGGCGGGAACTAGGAGAGGCCTGGAGGGTGTGCCCTCCAAAATTTTATACGTAACCTTTTACCTCATAGTTTTACTACAGATTTGCGGCTCATGGTTTCGCACAGCGAGTTGAAAGTTGGCAACGCTGGTTTTCCTTCATTTAAATGTGTGTAAATTAATCGATCCTCGGTGAAGCAGCTTGATATCTATATTTTCAATGGATTTGAATGGGGGAAAACAGTGTTGTCAACTTGCAGAATCACCACTTGTTTCACCTTTAAGTTATACGAGCCTCCGCGCGACCTCTGGATGGATTTTAATTTACGACGCGGTAGTAGACCATCATGCCTGACTAATTTATGATTGTGAACTTAAACGGCTTCCGATGAAAAGAGATTAACTATTGAATCAAATACTTCGTACGTATTCCGAACCAGGCAGAGGTGGATCCAGCAATTTGGCAACACCGAATTTCCTCCTTTTAAACCTATGCTAAATAATCGATTCTTGTTGGAGCACCTGGTCCCTCCAAGAATCGATGCATTTCCATAGGTTTAAATGGAAGAAATCCGGTGTTGCCAATTTGCTGGATCCGCCAATGGAACCAGGGCAAATCCTGCTGTATATCTTTTAAGTCATCGACGAGGAGGATCTGATATTTGACAACGGAGGCACTTGAGCAGCAGTGCCATACTTCTCACGAAAAAAAGCCAGAGTATCGAACTTAAAACAACGAAAAAGGTGTATACATATGTATGTATACGGAGGCGTTTGACGGTCGCCATTCAAGTGGTACTTCAGAAGGGTGCATGAACCTATATTGATGTCATTTAAGCATCGAGCACATATACTGTTGTAGACTTGAATTTTTTCAATGTTTATCGTGCGATGAGGCAGCACTACACAGAGAGATGTTGCCACATGGAGGTGGATACTTCCACATTCTGAGCCGGTGCGCGATTCGTCGCCAACTTTATTTGCTCTACATAATGCACCATACTGCCGTGCTAAGGAAGAACGCCGTATGAGCCTCCATACGCTGCCAAGTTTCCTCTGATAAAAACCGAATTTACTGAGAATATTGTGAATATTATTTTCCAAAAATTTCAGACAATTTTGTGCGCGATTTAATCTAAAATATCTGAAAATCTCAAGGAAAAATATGCATGAATGTTGTCAAAAATACATGTTTTATCAAGAGAAATTTGGCAACTCTCAAGTGTTCATACGGCGTTCTTCCTTAGCACGGCAGGATAGCTGGAAGCTCATATCATCTCATCGAAATTCATCAGACTCTAAAGTGTAAAGCATCCCTCTCACATGTGACGCTACCAGATTGCATAAAAATACATAGAATCAAATTATTTATTTGTCCAAAAGATCCATCACCACACAACATGGGCGGATTCAGGGGGGCGTATTCCCCTTCCCCCGTTTGCCCGAAAAAGAGGCAAAAAAGAGAAGAAAGAAAGAAGGCAGGAACAGAGGAGTGATAAGGGAAAAATGCGCATATTTGGTAATTATTCATGACAAAATTGACTCAAACTGCATATCACATGCTTTAAATTTCAGCAAATTTCTGGGGGAAGCCCCCCAGACCCCCTTGCGCCCGCCTCTCCCCGTTCCAAATGTATGGTTTCGCCTATGCCATACAATGACTAGCGATTGCTTTTGTACACATGAAACCTCAGTACTAGATCATTACAAGGTACAGCAATGATTTGCCATTATAAATAATACATCTCACGAAAGGAAATACATCGCAGGCTCAATGAATTTTCACGTAGGTCCGCATGTATGCACTTCTAATTTGGTCAAACTCGAAAACCAATTTCCTCTGCTTGGTATTTTTTCAAATCATTGTGATTCCTTGGAAAGGTCCGTTAACGAAGTTGTATAGTTTCATTATTCTCGAAGTGCCAACCTCCCGAAACGCCTCGCGCCGGAGGCGTTATGCGTCACGCGTTACTCTTATATTACAGAGTAAGTAAGATTCGTAAAAAAAACTCTCCCGTTAAATCGTTTGGGACCTCTCTACGGAAAGATCTGTCTAAAGAGTAACTTTGAATACGGCGCTCCAACCCTGTGCTGTATACATTTCGGTTTGGGGGCCCAACTCCATTAGATGCGGTGCCATGGCGAGTCGGAATGGATCGTGGGCATTCACGGTGGATAGCGGTGTCGTTGTAGGGCAATTGACCCCTGGATATTGCGAGGTAGGAGCCGAGTACTCGGTGCAATTTTATTCCAACGAGGAAGTGTCGGGGAGCCACACAAGGGGAGAACGACCTGAGGAAGAGAATGAGAAGGAGGACGAGAGAGGCGGAACGAGAGAGGATCAAAGAGTGGATGAATAGACTCATGGAGTGGATGAATGGACTCATGAATGACTTGTAAGAGTCAAATTGAATCAAATCTGTCAAAAAACACCTGAAAAGAACGCACGCCGAATAAAAAAACAAGGATCGCGTTCAAAACATCAAATGAAAATGTAGGCATTAAGTTTTTATCAACTCGCTCATTAGTTGTCATCGCCTATTTCAGCGTCAATCTCCCCTTCGGTGATTCGATGGCCGCCATATTTTTTGCCATCAAGACGACTTGCGATTTATCGCATCGATTGGTTCCATGTTTTCAGCTACTCGTCAGTATTCCGAATTCTGAGATCGCATTTCTGCTGTCACGAGACTAAATATTTCGCACATACCTAATTGGAAAACAGGTGTAGCATAATGAAGGCAGGGGTTTTTCAGAGGAGAAATATCGCATTCGATACCGTCGTCGAAACTGCACTCGAATGAGATATTTTTCCCCTAAAAAATCCTGGCTTTAATACGTTGATTAGTTAATGTTTGGTAATTGAATTCTTTAGTTTCGTGACAGCAGAAATGCGATCTCAAAATTCGGTAAAAATGACAAGTAGCTCAAGACATGGAACTAATCGATGCGATATATCGCACGTCGTTCTGGCACTAAATATGGCGACAATCGAATCACCATCGAATTCCGTGTTTTATGGTCTTTTGAACAATTTCTTGTCTACTGTCTCTGTATAATTTTTCCCTGAGAACATAAAAAATTTGAAAACGACAGAAGTAGGTATTTGATAATTATCAAAATTTGAAGTAATGGTCACATAACTGCGCGAGCAATTCAATCGGTCAAAAAGGAGGCGGGTGAACCAAGGGATTCCACAGGAGAGAGATTTTACATTTTTTCAAGGAGGAAAACTCTTTTTCATTGTGAATCTCTGTTTTCACAAAAAGTCCGCTCTCTCTTCAATTTGTTGCTTATCAATCACACTTTTTTCTCGTGGTTCTCTTATTTAAGTATCACATTTCCAATATCAAAGGGCTGATGCGCGAGGCAGTGATTTTTAAAAATAGTGTGGAGGGTGCTTGTGCAAGCTCAAGTGCTCTCAACGTATGACGTAACGTTACGAACCTAAACCGCGAAAACAACGAAATTTTTCTCGCTACTGCTGCGACTAAGTGATGATACATTCAATCAGCAACTTCGGGTTATTAGAGATCCTTTTAAAGTTGTTGCTTTGTTTTAGCTTTATTTTGACAATATCAGGAGTCGTCTGTAAATTAACTCTTTCCGAATTTTTGAATCATAGATTGCCCTCTCTCTCTCTCCTCCCCTCTCTCTCTCCCTCCCCCTCCCCATCAGAACTCTCCGTCAGTTCGTGGATCAAAGCTGTAGAAAAATTCTCGCGCTGATTTTTGCACAACGTCACGCCCTGCCAGACCCCCTCCGTTCCCCTCGCAGCTGGCTTGTTCGCACAGACTCCCTCCCCTCTCTCCCCGTATTACTCGTCGTAATTTATCAACGTCCCCTAAAAAAATAATCTAAAAGCGAGGCTGGCATGTTAAGTACTATATTATGACCATGTTGCCCACTCGTGGGTTATTACTCATTACTTTCTCATGAAAATTTGTGTCTATTTTTGGACACATTCTTTGCCTATGGTGGAATATGGATGGGAAAAGTGGATGGGAGTACGTTTCTCAAGTCACAATTTTGCTAAGTTCTCGTTTGTAAAACCAACCTAAAATCATATCACTGTAATGCGATAGAATGCCCCGGAGACCGTCGAAATCTCTCTTAGCAATGTTAAGCGGAGAAGTGATTGAAGGTCTCCTGATTTACGGAAAACACTGGCAATGTCGTTTACAAGTAAAGCACTGTAAGGGTGACCTTTGCCTGCTCGGGCAAGTCTCAATTCGCATTAATGAAATTAAAGTTATCAAGGGGTCATCCCTTCACCTGCAAGACTCCGCTCTTAAGGATATTTTTACTAATTTTAGTAGATTTTGAGGTTGACCTTAATTTGTCTTCCTCCCCATAGGTTTACTTTTACCAACCAAGGGACCGTTTATAAAATACGTAACTTTAAATTTCGGATTTTTCGACCTGACGTATGTCCTCAACCTTTAGCAAGTGAGCACCAAATGGGATATTTTTTAAATGGCGTAACGCTCCCCTAGATCTCCTCTTCCCCTTTTTTCCCCGTTGAATATTCAATTAAAGTAACTTTCCCTTTTGCGAAAATTTTCTCAAAAATTTTTTTCATCTGAAAAACGTGTTGCTGAGATCGTGTTTTGAACTCCTTTTTACAAAAAAGAAAAACTTGAATGAATTTGTTTCATTAAATTTTCAAAGAACAATTCTTTCGAAAATTCATTCCTGTACGTATTTCATGACAAATGTTGATGTTTGCGAGATCCCCATTCGACGAAGAAGACAGAGTGAATGGGGAGGTTTTAGGGCAATTCTTTTCTCCTACTTTCATATGCTCTCGGAAGAGGAGACAGGGCTTGAGCCCCCAAGGCCCCCTGGGACCAGGTGCCTGAATCTTAGCAACACCTAATGGCGCTAACT